AATTGATAAGCATAAACAATTACGATACATATTTTTGAAAGCATTCTTACTTTACAGCATTTTTTCACACCTGCCTAAAACCTTTGCACAGTACTGTAGCTTTGGAACAAACAAGAATATTGAGACAGTTTCAAACCAGAGACCTCTGGTCCTCTGGCTCACAGATGGAAGTAGAAAGCTTGGGCTAGATTATTTTAACACTGTAATTCCTACCATATGGTCATTGTCAGCAATGCTTTTTCAGATACTCCTTTGAAAGTTTGGGAAGTCAATCATTTTGACTTGTTATATATGCTGGAAAACCCTTATAATTTGAACTGATAGAATTTGGAAGTAATGAAATAATGCATTTGATCTAAACTGCAGCTATCTGGCTGTATCTGTAGCACTTTCCTTAAGGAGGAGGCCAAACACAACAAAAATTTAGAACCATATTTCTTTCCATATACACTTAGGAATGTAAAAAAGTGTCTTGAGCCATCTTATTCAATACATTCTCCACCCTGATTAATGAGGATGGGATTTCAGACACAGGTCTTTCCCAATTTTATTTGGACATTGAACCGGGATCCCTTCTGTATTATGTAGTATGGGTATGCTACTGAACCCTACCTTAATGGCAGCATGACCAAAAACAGTTTCCTCAAAGTTTCACTGTTACCTCAAATCTTTTTCTGTTCTTTTACAGATGTTTGGACCATACTCCAATGTTAAAATGCTGGGTTGATGTGATGAAGCTAGATCTGGCTGTTCAGGCTACGATAACCGATCCTCAAATCTGTAAGGGCTTCCTTGAGCAATATTTGAAGAATAGTCCTGAGGCCTGTGACTATGGGCTCTGAAAACTATGGAAAGTTTTTTCAGCGGATGTCAAAGGGTATTGGCAGCTATTGCTCCAGCATGTCATCTGATATCTGAAATGCTTTGTTCAGCTTTCATGTGTTTTGTGTTTTGCTATTCATTGAGTATATAACTGGACTGAAATGATAATTATCTGCAGTAAAGGTTTTCCCTTCAAAAGAAAAATACCCAACATTGGTCAGGAAGAAAACCTTTTTTATCCTTATGTTCTACCAATCAAAATGGCAATGTTGACTTTTTTGCCTTCTTTATCAGTTTAGGATAGACATCAGTTTGGCTTTGTCTCTGTTTGGAAACTGATTATTGCCTTTCAGGAATAAAAACACTTCAAACATGAGGTTTCCTTTTATGTGCAGCAGCATGTAAAGATATATGGCAGACTATGCGCTTGTGTGAGTCAAGCTTAGAAATTAGTACATTGTGCTGTTGGCTGAACTAAATGCCTGTGACCAAGTGCAGAATTTTCCCTGGAAGGGTGTCCTTAAAGCAAAGTTGCAGGGGGAGAGGGGGCAGGAGAATTCCAGGAACATAGAAAGTAGATTTATATCCAATCAGTGTATTGGTTTGTTGAACTGAATAGAGTCTGAAGTCACTGGCACATTTCTAGCATCAGGAAGTCAAAAGATTAAACCAAGTTAAAAGATCCATTTTGTACTCTCTTATTTAGGCAACTGGATATGAAATTTGGGCAAGCTGGCATCCATATAAATTTGCAAAACTATCTTGCAAATAGTTTTGCAAATTTATGTGGATGCCATATATGGATGGGGAAAAGGGTTTTGGTCTGGGCAGTTACTTTGGTTCTTCCGTACTGCTTTTCAGTATGGCAGAGGTATGAATCATGACTACTTCATACCCAGTGATTATATTCTGCTGAAAAGCAGTAATGTAATTCCCTGTCTTGCCTGACTGAAAAATGTAATTCTCACACTGTGCCCCAGATGTTTTCAGTTTTAGGTTTTGCCTGTAGAGCCAGTGAAACTGAATATAGCACTGCTAAGACTGACTACAGGTAGTCCTCACTTAACGACCATTCATTTAGCTACTGTTTGAAGATACGACACTGAAAAAAGTGAATTATAACTGGTCCTCATGCTTACAACTGTCACAGCATCCCTGCAGTCACGTGATCACAATTTGGGTGCTCAGTAACCATTGCGCATTTATGATGGGCTAAGCATCCTCCAATTTCCATTTACAACCTTCCCAGACACCTCCTGACAAGCAGTCAGTGGGGAAGCTGGCAGGAGGTTGCAAGTTGTGGTCATATATTGTCTCGCTTAATGACTCCAGGTGATTCATTTAACAACCGCTGCTGGGACTGCTGTTGCTTAGCAGGGCAAACACATGAAGTTTCGCTTAATGACCACTTCACTTAGTGATGGTGTTGCTGGTCCCAATTAGGGTTGTTAAGCAAGGGCTACCTGTTTTTGAAATCATCTGCAGATCCAGCAGTTAAAGTGGTTTTTTTAAAATCAATCCTTAAAAATAAAGGTGCTTGTTCATCAAAACTGTTAGTAAGGGAAATAGCAATGGATTTTACACTGGAAAAACTATTTTTAGGAGAAAACTGCTTTGTTTATCCCCAAATCAAGTATTTATTTTATTCAATTAATATTTCAAATTTGGTCACTGCCCATCTCCCTAGGAAGTGACTCTTTATAGTTTAAAGCTGCTTGTGAGCAACTCTATCGCATTCATAGGAGTTTGCTGGTTCAAAAACATTTGTAACAAAAATAAATGGAATGTTAATTTATCAGTTAGTGCCATCCACTTGCTCCCATTGGAACAGGCATGAAATGGCTATTGTACAGATCGTCTGGTGCTATGGATCATGAAGAATGGAGTTTGAGATATTAGTCTAATATATTGGGATAAAACGAGATTGGGGAAGGCAACTATATGCGAAGCAGAAGCATTTGGTTCTGTTGACTGGCTCTTAAATTGAGATCAGTATTATGAATGCAGACTTCTGGTTTTGATTCGCTTGTATCTGTCTCAGGACACAACCATCCATCTCTTGGATGAACTTGTCTTTATCTTTGTCAGTCTCAACCATAAATTTATCATTCCATCTTTAAAGTCAAACTTGACAAATCATGGTAAAAATTGGAGTGCTAGATAGTGTCTTTGTACTTCAGTTGTTAAAATTGAAAGCAGTGTTCTCTTCTAATCCACATACCCCCATCTGGCTCAGGAAATTTTGTGCCGGCATGAGCAAACAACCTTTGGCAAAAAACCCAGCTTCCAAACATTTCCTGTTCCAGCTAAAAGTAAACTATTCTTCTGGTATTTCTTCCTTACTATTCCTTGCAGAACTCATCTAGCTCCAAAATATTCTTAGGTCTCTTTGCATGCCCTGCATGTTTGAGATATCACCCAGATTTTGAATTATGTTCAAGTCTGGGGACTTAAAAATCTTTATCTTTCATTCCTGTAAATATTACATAATTAGGTAGGTTTCAGATCATAATCCTACTGAAATATCCACTTGTTTTTCAACTTCTTCATTGGCTTTGGGACATTTAGTTGAATCCATTTTTGCTGTCACGTGGACAGCAGTTACTGTGGCACTGGTTGCCACAGAACCCCAAATATAATAGAGTTGCCTGGAAGCTTAACAGTTGGGAAGGTTTTCTTCAAATGTTTCACTGTTTTTTTTCTCCAAATGAATCTTGTGTGGCTGTGAATGAAGAGTTTAATTTTGGCTGGTGTGGGTCTTCCAGGCTGGTGGCCGTGTTCTGGAAGTTTTGTTTCCTAACGTTTCGCCAGCACTTGTGCTAAAATCAGCAAAAGACAAAAGCGATCCCCTCACCGCCGCAGGAGTATACCGCATACCATGCAGTTGCGGGCAAGTATACATCGGGACC